GCAACATCGCTTTCTCATAACACTTTTTCAAAGTTGGATCTGCCTTCTGCGCAGCTGCAAAAGATGCTGCAGTGACTGATGGTGATGCTGAAACTGGTGTGTTTTCAGTCAAACCACACTCAATTGTTATCCAATCAGTCTGTGGTGCTTCTGGTAATTAGCTGAGAGCAATATCTCTGTCTATGCGTTGCTGCTGTGCTCGTGTAACAGCATTGGCCACTGTGTCATTGTCATTGTTCCACTTCTTAATATCTTATGTTGTGCAAGCTCGCACACCTGAAACTGGTGAACCTCGGCTTACGTCACATACCTCTGCAACTCCAGTAAAATATGGACATCTAATTTCCACAATTGCAAGTGGATATTTTTTAAGATTTCCACCGAATGTGCGGCATTTAGCATACCTCCCTGTATAGGCAGATGCAGGGACTAAGTATCTTGCCACGCCGATAACATTCGCGCCTGTGTCCCTTAGAACTGTGCATCTTACCTTGCCAATGTACCCAAAATGAAGAGGTAATCCACATTCTGTAGGCATAGCGGACAAAGCAGGATACAAGATATCAGGCCGAACTCTGACCTGTACTGTATCGCTGTGGCTGGTATGTGTTATGTCCTCTACCTGAACTGCATTGCCCTGTCTTGGTGTAACTCTAGGACAGAATCTTTTCAGGTGATTTCCCCCACACACAAAGCATCTGAGGTTGCTATCATGGTGCCTCCTCCTGTCTCGTGTCGGAGATTTGTCATCATCCCGTCTATAACTTTTGTGATAACATTGGTATGATCGGTGACGCCAGGAAGAACAGTACTGACAACCTCTAGGCCGGCTAAAGTACATATGTGACTGTTCTGTCTTCTGAAAGTCTCTATCTGGTCGTCTGGAACGATCATAGCTGTGGCTTCTAAAGTGACCTGCTCTGCCAAAATTACTAGGTTTCTGTGCAACATTATTCACATCACGCGCATGCTAGATGCGGCAGGAATATGTTCTGTGTAACTTTCCTTTTGCAATGACTTGCCAGGATGAGTACTCATATATTGCTCACCAAGTTTTACCATTTCCTTAATAGAAGGCGGTTTTCTTTCTTGAAAGAAAGCAAACAATCCTGTGCTACAACAGGATAGAATTTTATCCCTAATCATCAGATCTGCTAGACGATCATAAGAATTACCGACCTGCGCCAGAGTCGTCCATCTAGAAAACAAGGTCTTAACATTAGAAACAAAATCACCAAAACTTTTTTCAGAGGAAGGCATTGTGTTTTTGAATTTCTGACGGTAGTTTTTCTCGGTCAAATTTTGGGAAGGCAATAATTTCTGACGCACTGTCTGGAATGATGCACTGTCTTAGTTAGTTAGTCTTTCCTCTTGTGTCGAGTGCGGCACATAGGGCAGAGGTCGTGACTCTCCATGCAATCCGTTGTAGGTCTTTGGATGTTTGAGTGGCCCATGAGCGAGCCTTCCCTGATGATAGTTCTACGTAGGGTTTCCCTTGGTCTTCCACGAGATCTTTTCCCCTGTGGTGTCCAAATGAGGGCTTGGTAAGGAAGTTTTGATTTATCCATTCTAAGGGCGTGGTTGACATAGTTCCAGCGGCGTTTTCGTATAAAATTAGACACATACTCTGCCTGGATTCTTGCCTTATTTGTGTATTGGTTCGGAAATCGGACCATTTGAAATTTAGTATTCTTCTAAGGCATTTATTTTCAAAACGGTCTAATTTTGTGTCTAGAGTTTTCGTTGATTTCCAGCTCTCGCATCCATAGGTTAGTACTGGAATCACACAAGAATTGAAGATCTTGAGTGCACTGTCTTCCAACGGTAAATTAGTGAACGTGTTTAACACTGTTCCGGTTAGTAGATCTCTTAGACGAGCTACCCACTGTGTCTCAGGAATCTGGGCTGACGACATCGTTTCCTGGAATCTGTCCAAAAAAGAGTGCAAACAACCATTAGTTGTTAAAAAGGATAACTTCGACCTGTATGACCCATTATTCCTGTCTCGGTTGGGAATCTGATCCCCCTCTCTACTTTTCTTGCTCTCTGCCTCCTTAATAGCAATCATTTTATCTCTCTCCTTACTCTAGCAATTTCTATCTCAGTGTCGAATCTAAGTTGTTGCTGCTTGTGAGACAATTTCAATTCTCGATCTTTAAATTGCTGCTGCTTATCATTTTCCTGCATCTGCTGCAACATCTGCTCTCCTTTAAATGCACTTTTAAACACACTTAACGCATACAATTTTAGCGACTAATTGTCAGAAAAGCCACGAATATTTGCATATCCTCTATATCAGAGCCGCCTTTTTGACAAGAAAAGCTGAAGAAAAGAACTTATATGTCATCTCAAACTCAATGAGCTGATATATTAAAGTTACAAATAACATAGAAAACATGGATGATAATCATTCACTCTAACACCTCGGATATGTTATGAGAAGAAACGAGCACACAACACAACTCCCATCCGTCAACAAAAAACATTACCCGATTTAAATCCACAGAAGCGATCTTTTGGCGTCGTAAGCGTAGATCCTCAATTCGTACTGAGAACAGGAACCTCTAGTAATGATGCGAAACTCAAGCATCCACTGCCGAACTCCGTCGAAGAATATCAATTACGGCATAAAAAACGTGTAATTCTATAGAGTCAAATAACACTGCTAATGTCACCAGCACTATATACAGCTGTAAATTGCAATCAATTAACGCCTACTGTTAGTTCACGTATGTCATGATAAGTTCGTAAAGGCTGCTAGGAACACCCATTAAACCGCATACACGTAAAAAATAGTTTATAACTCCTTCCAGGATCCGTTAATTTATAACGTTTATGTAGAACGTTTATGCAGGTACGTTTATGTTATACGTATTCGTTCAAACGATCATCAGTTAGTAGCACGAACACTGGATACATCAACACTGTCTTTAAATCCATCAAAGGACCGGCTTGGCCATCCACTGTTGTACACTTTGTACACTGTATATTCAACACGTATGTTTACGCACTGATACTCCTTAGTATCAACAACCAAGTATTTAAGCCTTGGGTGCCTACTCTAACCTTTCGCTGGATATCTCCTTGATGGATGTGCTACAGTGAAGTTCTGCATACTGGCACACTTGGCACAGCATCATCTAATACAGTTGTTATCTTTACGAGTCAACAATAATGCTTGTGACAGGCTACATAAACTTTAATGTCATTAACATTACACGTCACAAGATAATGATGTTTATTCATTAAAACATGTACGATAATAAATCTCTATTATCTACTCTGATGATATACAAGATTACAATCTTTTCTCAATGGACTCCTGCCATTATAATAACTAAACAGACATTAAACTGTCTCCCGCAAACAACGGTAAATCAAAACCTTACAAAGAGAAACGTTTTATAATATTCTCATACTGAAAGCCCAACACAATGTTTTCGCTAACCCCGCGGAAACACGTCTCACTTGGACAAGGGAAATATCTCAACTCCCTGGGCCTTTGTGTTCTACGCCAAGAATTCAAATAGCTCATATCCTAGGTAACGACCCGTGGCCGCTGTGTGAACTTTCAGCTGTGCTGTTACCACTAGAAGAAACTCTCGGCCAATAAGATTATAACACACCCCTGGTATACGCTCACGGCACCCTGGAGTGCTTCAGCACCCAGTTTGAGAACCACTGCGTTAACGCTCAACTCGGTGACGTCAGCAGTATGGCCCGTCAGCTAGAGCCGGTCGTGGTCTACGGCTTCCAGATCAATCCAGTCGACAATGGGTACCCAGTAACATCATGGGAATTAAAGGTGGCTGGCGTGACGTTGACCACATCACCCACCGAGTGCCATTTGGTCTGTAAAACATAAGTCAAGCACTATATGCTCAGTTTAAGTGAAGGCGGGAAAAAGTCCTTTACTTTACTTTTGGTGTATTGCTTTGTTTATGATTAAAACCATCAATTTGCTTCACATAAGAAACACTTCAAAAAAGACAAATTAAATACATCTTGTACCTCCAATATAATTTGTGGGTATACGTTGTCAGCCTAACGTCTAAATAGTCTTAGAATGATCCAAAAATCCCCCACTTTCAGTTTTAAGACGATCTACGGCTACCTGTTTTAGACTGGATAGATCTGGAATGTCGAGTTACGAAAAACACATTCTCGTCCTGAGCAGTTTTAGAATACATGACCTCCAGACTGGCAGGGTAAATTACAAACAACGGTGCCACCTGCCTTGATGAAATCTTTTGTACAGCCTGAAGCCTTCTGTGTACCACAGAGATTTTACTTGTTTGTGGTTGGAATAACGCAGATTGCTTCTCTGTTAGAAGTATACAGTTTACAGTATTGGAGCACTTGTTTAGCATTTTCTGGTGCTAAGTTGCGGGGATATCCGGTGTTTTCTGATACATTACAACAGCCATACGTGCACAGGAGATATCATGTTTATGTGTTCTTAGAGATCTTGATCGTTGATGTTGCCTTTACTTCCCATAACTCTATCTGGCGCCCATTTAGGGCTGGCTTAAAAAATATAATCTGGCACCATAGTAATTTCAATCCATGACCCTCAGATATGTAGGCGAACGTCTAGCTTCTACACCACAGAGTCTCCCCTACTGCCAGAACTAGTGTCCATTTATCAGCTTATCCAAACAATATCTGAACACCAGCGTTTAGCAATATTCTTTGAATGCCATAAGGCTTAGCCCTAAAAACATAAAAAAGTCAGTCGTTTCTTTTCATTTATCATCATGTTTATAAATCTGCCTGTATCAGATGGCTGTAAAATGCCAAGCCATTGAAGAACCAACCCCATCATTTTATGGTTGTTGTAGTTTTTCTAGGAAAACTTTTAGATCCAGCATTTTGCCATTGCTTTCTCAATAGTTAAATCTAGGCATCACTGTCGAAATCAGCGCAAGACGCTCTGCTGCCAAATCCCCTGCACTTGTGATAGAGCCTGGCACCCCTGTATTAGGAAGCGGATTCGCAACGCCCAAGCCATAGACGCCGAGCCATCACAAAGTTCATTTTCCCATCTCTCATAGCTTTCTTGAGTGCATGGAGGCCGCTCTTCTGAGCGGATTTGCTCAACGGGAATAAACTACCACATCGACCGTCATTTGTAAGGGCTGGAACACCGCGTACTTGATCTCTGAGTGTCTGAGAGGAATGGCAAACAGCTGGCGTGTGGAAGCAACAGACGAGGACAATCTGCAGACTGTTCAT